AGGGTTTAGGGTAAGTGGAGAAATGACCGGGCTCGGGTTTACCCATAGGCCCCATCGTGGTTCCTTTTTGGGAGTACCTTATAGGATTCTAAATATGAACCCCAAAAAGGAACTACTATGGGGCCTATAATTGGGGCTTGGGCTTTATTTTGTATATTCCTGGGCTCCGGTAACCGAAATAATGGGTTACTGGGTTACGTAGCGCAATGCTATCAATCTACTACTCAGGTAACTGGAGACCGAGCTCACTCCATGTAGGGTTTAGGGTCTAGGGTTGTAGAACCTACCTGCGAAGGCCACATGCCACATTCTCGACCTAAGTTGTTCGGGGTTCGGTGCATAGGGCTTCGCTGGTTAAGGGTTTGTGGTACAGGGCTGCTGTGTTGTGTTCATAAACCCCAAAAGCCCAAAGCTATACCCGCAGACCCAAGGTCCAACGTTCCCATCATCATGAAGGCCGGCAAAAGCCTTGAGAGAAGGTCCACCATCGTGTCAGAGCCCTGGTTTAGGATTTTGGGGTTCGGGCCTTCTTCCATGTCTTTTTGAAGTAGGATGTTTTGCTCTCGAAAATTGCATTGTTCTTCAATGCTGTGGTGTGTGCTATTATATACTCCAGAATCAAATTTCAATTTTTACCACCCCTATACTAAGGCTTGAAAAAATAACTCCGTAGCCCTTTAAAGGAATTTGAGGAACCCTGGTTATTAGGGCCCCTTACATAATGGAGCCGTCATAGCAAGCCTTTCAGAACACTTACGGGAATCTTAGTTTTATGATTACGGCGCCGACATGAAGCCGAGGCGACTTCAATTCAAGAAGGCTCCGCCACAGAGTCTTTTCGGCGTGTGGCTCCCGGAAAGATGGGTTTACGGTTTATTGTCAGGACGAGTGGTTGAGGCTTAACATTCCTCTAAACCCTAAACCCTATCAGCCCTTTATGCTCAAAACCGAGTTTCTGCTTGCCGAAAGCAACCTACACACCGTAAACCTTAAGCACCCGACCCGACATCTCGGACCCTCGACCCCTCCGCCCTCAACCTTAAGCTGCTCCGAGCTCGAAGCTGCCTCAGCATCCTCAGACATCCTAAACCCCGCATAACCCTTCCTTAAGCCCTAAACCCTAAACCCTAAACCCTAAACCCTTCCCTCAACTTAGGTGTTTAGGGAGATTTCGGGTTTAGGGTAATTTCACCACCCGAATCCAGAAAAGGGTTGGTGTTGAGATGAACGTCGGCCTGCCCCATCTTTCCCCTTCCTACACCTTCACGGGGGCGTCTTTTTTACATGATGGAGATCTTCTGCATTTAGACACATAGGTACGTAGGTAGGTAGGTAGGCAGGCAGGCAGGCAGGCAGGTAGGTAGGTAGGTAGGTGTACGTGGTATACATATGTATATATATATATATATATTATGTGTGTGTGTGTACACGCATATAAGCGAGAGAGTGCCATTGAAATAGGCACGATGCCATAGTGCTCGCCCCCGCCCCGAAACACGAGGCTTGGGTGAACAGATCACCTCTCCAGCCGGGCTCGGGTATGAAGATGCATCTTGCAGCTTCTTATGAGGGGTAGGGTTTAGGGTTTAGGGTCTTATGAGGGGTACCTTATTCAGAGAGTTCAACGTCGTAGAAGACTGCCAACCCTGAGACGGGTATTCGTAGTTTGGGAGCTGGCTACGCTTGGGTTTGATACTACAAAACTCAGAAGCCTTTGCCTCAAGTCTTGGGACCCCTACGTCCGCGTAACCCCGCTAAACCCGAAAACCTGGATTTCGATTACATCCTGAAACCCTGACCCCCTAAACCCGAGAACCCTAAACCCTAAACCCCTGGATCGTAGTCCCAGGACCAACCTCAGAACGAGCTCGTGATTCGCATCCAGCCAGATGAAGCGATCTACTATCGGACCGGCCCCGTCTTGAGGGTTTAGGGTTTATACATGGGGTTTAGGGTTTGACGCTTTTACGGTTGAGGGCTTCGGGTTTTGAGGCTCGCCGATCGATAACATGGATGTAGGATGATGCAGGGCTGGTACTGTAGAGCGCCTGAGCAGCGCTGTACGTACTCAAGCCTCATGAAGACTAGCCATGTTATGAATGTTATAAGACTCCAGACCAGGGCTTAGAGTTTGCGGTTTGTTTGAGTGCCGAATGTCTTGAGATACTGCGAGTTGCGGTGGCATTCTGCATTTCAGCTTGGACAGCTGGGTAACTGCGCCTGCCGCTGAGGCATTTGTGGTCCGAAGCAGAGAAGTTGTAAGAGCTCGATTCTCTTGCAGAAAGTGCGCCGGTGATGGCTTTCTTCCCTCGCTCTTGCATGATGCTCTC